AATAGCTACACCAAAATTTTAATTGTGTACATTAAAAGATATAAAAGAGTGAAAAGACAGTTTATGGATGGAAGACAATATTTGCAAATCTTGGATCTGTTAAGGAGTTCCTATCCAAATTATATAAAGAACTCCTCTAACTCAACAAATCAAAACTCAGTTAACAAATGGGCAAAGGACTTAAATAAGCACTTTTCCAAAGAAGATATAAACAAATGAAAATATATTCAGCGTTACCATAATCACTAGAGAACTGTAAATCAAAATCAGAAAATAACAACCGTTGACAATGTTGTTATGTCCTTGTGTATGGCTGGTATTAATTTAAAATAGTACAGCCATTATGGAAAGTAATATGGCAGTTTCTTGACAAATTAAAAATAGGATTACTAAATAATCCAGCAGTTCTACCTCTAGTGTACCCAAAAGAACTGTAAGAAGGGTGTCGAGGAGATACTTATATGCCTGTGTTCATAGCAGCATTGTTCCTGGTAGACAAAAGGTGGGAGCAACCCTGGTGTTCATTGGTGAATGAATGGAGAAACAAAATTCCATATACAATTGAATATTATTCAGCCAAGATGACATATGTTATGATATGAATGAACCTTGGGAATGCTATGCTGAGTGAAAGAAGCCAGGCACAGATAGAAACCATATTATTCCATTTATATGAGGTCACAGTTATGGAGACAGACAGTAGAATGATGGTTTTCAGGGAATGAGGGAAGTACAGGATGGGAAGTTACTGTTTAATAGGTGTAGAATTTTGGTTTTGCAAAATGGAGAATTCTGTGGATGGATGATGTTGGTGATAGCAATACAACAGTGTGAATATACTTAATACCACTGAACTAAACACTAAAAATAGTTAGATGGGAAATTTTAGGTGATGTGTTTTATTAGCTAAATTTCAGGGGTGGGGAACTGAAAAAGACTTGCAGCTGTTCTGTTAGGTTTTCTAGCACACAGTTACCTAAAATATATCACTTAAATTTTCTTTGTTGCTTTTTTTTAATGTGTTTTAGCATCCATGAGTATGTTTTCTGATTTCCTGCAGTCTTTTTTGAAGCACTCTTCAACTACAGTTTTTGACCTTGTGGAAGAATATGAAAATATTTGTTCTAGTCAGGTAAGCTAATTTCACTGCATTATTGGTCAAACTTCATTACTTTAAGGGTTTTTTTGTTGTTGTTGTTGAGTTTTGTTTTGTTTTTTCAGTGCTGGGGTTTGAACTCATCCTTGTGCTTGCTAGGCAGGTACTGTACTGCTTTAGCCTTTCACCCAACTCATTTCTATACTGAGTTTAAGACAGATGTTCTAGGGGTGCAGTGACAGGAGTAATGGAATCAGCTCGAGCATCTCAGCTTTTCACATACCCATATAAGATTTCTTTGGAGAACAAAAGGAATCTGCTGCTTAAAAAAAAAGAAAATCCAGAATATACAAAGAACTGTTAAAACTCAACAGTAAGAAAGTATATACCTGGGTTCAAAAATGGACAAAAGATGGGAATAGACACCTTACCAGAACAGATAAACAGAAGGCAAATAAGTATATGAAAAAAATGCTTCACATCATATGTCATTAGGGAATTGCAAATAGGTACATTGTTGCACACCTATTAAAACGGTAACATTCTAAAACACACAACCAGAAGCTGACATGCTTGGGGAGCAACAGGAACTTGGATTCCTTGATTCAAAAGCACAACACTACATCCATATTGGAAAGCAGTTTGGTGGGTTCTTGCAAAATTAAACATGTTTCTATTATATAATACTTCATTCACACTTCTTTGGTATTTACCCAAATGAATTAAAAATTTATGTCCACACAAAACCTGCACACATGTCTTCAGAGTAAGTCTATTCATAAAAATTTGTATACAACCTTCATTTGGTGAACGAATAAACTGAAATGTATCCAGAAAATGAAATATTACTGCTCAGAAGAAATGCGCTATAAGCCATGAAAAGACAGGAACCTTAAGTACATGTTGCTAAATGAAGCTTATTCAAAAAGGCTGCATCCTGTTTGGCTTTAAACATATAACACTCTGGAAAAGGTAAAACTGGGGAGAGTGAGAAGATTGAGGTTAGAGAGGAGGGAAGGAGGAATAGGTGGAACACTGAGGATTTTCAGGGCAGGGAAACTACTTACTGTGTATGGTAGATATTGTAATAGCAGGTGCACAGCATTACACATTGGTCAAACACCAAAGAATGCACACCACCAGCCCTGCCGCACTGCATGCTTAAAGAACACAAAGTTGGACAAAATCAACCTCTTTACCTCTTTGTTTTTAATTCAGGTGAATATACTGGGTAAAATAGTGAGCCGAGCGACGCCTGGGCTGCAGAAGTTTTCAAAAACAGCCAGTATGCTCTGGCTTCTTCAACAGGAGATGGTCACATGGAGGCTGCTAGCTTCTTTGTATAGGTAAAGTTGTATAGAAGAAGTAATGAACCAATAGCTAGGGTAACGTGTTTGAAAATAGGTTTTGCTAATTGTGGGGTTTATTTCTTTTTTTTAATTTGCCACTAGGAGTTGTACTAGGGGTCTTGTGCTTGCTAGGCAGACACTCTACCACTTGAGACATACACCAAGCCCATTTTTGCTTTAGTTTAGTTTTTTTTTTTTTCCCTCAGATAGGGTCTTGCACTTTTTGCCTGGGGCCACCTTCAGGCTGCAAGTGGGATTATAGGGAGGTACCACCACACCTATGTTGTTGAGGTAGGGGTGTCACTAGCTGTTTTTGTTTTTTGGGTTTTTTGCCTTGACTTTGGACTATGATCCTTCTGATCTCCGCCTCCCATGTCGCTGGGATTACAGGTGTGAACCATCACGCCAATCCTTGAGGCTTATTATTTCTAGTAAAGTTGTTAGGAATGAGTTATGAGAGAAGAGGGAGCTATCATCTCATAAAGTTAATAACTATCAGAAATTGGTTTATGTAGCTGGGTATTGTAGCACATGTGTGTAACCCCAGCACTTGGGAGGGTATGGCAGGGGGATTGCAATTTGAGGCCAGCCTGGTCTACATAGTGAGACCCTGTCTCAAAAAAATTTTTTTAGATTATGTATAAATAAAGATTTAAAGAAAGTTAAAAATAGAGCAATATTTAGGAGAGCATAGATTAAGGAAAGGAACTGAAAGGTAGAATTTATGCAATGGAAGCTTAAAAGAAGCTAGCTGCTTGGCATGGTGGTTTATGCCTGTGATCCAGACTCTCAGAAGGCGGAGAAAGATAGCCCAGGCAAGTTAGTGCCACCCAGTCTCAAAAACCAGTGCAGCCTGTATTCTCAACACTTGGGAATCTGAGATTGGAGGGATCAAGTTTCGAGGCCGGCCCTAGTAAGTAGGTTGTGAGACTGCATCTACAAAATAACCAGAGCAAAATGGTCTGGAGGTATGGTTGCAAGCATGAAGCCTGGAGTTCAAACCCCAGTCTCACAAAAATAAATAAATAAATAAAAACAAAAACAATGCAAAACAAAAGGGCTGGAGGTGTGGTTCAAGTGGTAGAGTACTTGCCTAGCATGTGCAAGGCTCCTGGGTTCAATCCTCAGTACTGCAAAAAGAAGTTAATCGTGTTCCATTAGATGTTCAGTGGTTTTGGTTCTCATTCTGTTGCTTTCTAGTGTTAATGAAAAAATACTGCTGTTAATTGTTGCCATGTGAAAATGTGTGAAAAAGGTATGTGCATTAGCAGGTAGCCATTAAAACCTTTGCAACATGTATTTCTAGTAAGTGCCAGTTTTCTCAGGTGTCAATACCAGATTCAGCAGATACTTACTACTTCTATCTTATATTTAAAATGAGATGATTGAGTTAATTGGAAACTCATTTGCTTCTATCTGGTAGATAGAATGCAGGTTTGCACGTCAGTAGTTTAAAAGGCAAATTCATACGTTCATGTAAAATACAGCCTTTTCTTTGGTGTTGTTTTTCCTTAGAGACAGAATACAGTCTTCGCTCGAAGATGAAAATATGTTTGCAGTTACTGTAAGTTTTGTATTGAATTTTTTTCCTTTATAGAAGCTTAAAAATTAGAGAGTTTTTAGTAGTAAAACTTTATTTTTAACACTCCATCTTGAGTTTGTGCATTTTTACACAAGAATTTTACAGTATATAAAAGTAACATCTTATTATCAAGTATTGACTTATATTAGAGAGTAAAGGTAAAGTCCTATTTTAGCCCTCTGACTAGTCACTATTAATTTTTATGTCAATTCACACAAGTTTAACTTATGTTTTCTTACAGTGTGTAAATGTAGCATAAATTTTTCATAAATTCTGCTGACATATGTAGGTTGTTTCCAGTATTTTTGTTAATAGTAATCAATAGTGTGGTGGAAATCAGTCTTCATATTTATGTCTGTATATGAGCATTTCTTAACATTTCCTGAAGTAAAATTGTTAAGTCACTATTTGAGATGGCCATATTGCTACCTGCTACATACATTCTCACTACTAGTATATGAAAATGTTTACTGTGCTAATGGTATCAGCAGTCATTTCATTTTCATACTTGGGGGAAGCATTTTGTGATATGTAAATCCTTGGTCACTGGTAAGGGGGAGCATTTTATTCTTAGGCGTTTATATTTATTTTTCGTTTTTTGAGACAGTGTCTGGCTGTATTGCCCAGGATAGCCTCAGACTCACTATTTAGCCATGCTGGCCTTGAACTCTTGATCTTCCTTTCTCAGCCTCCTGAGTGTTAAGATTATAGGTGTGCATGACCATACGCAGACATTTATATGTTTTGTGTGTGTGTGGTGCTGGGGATCAAACCCAGGGCCTTGTGCATGCCAGGCAAGTGCTCTGCCCCTGAGCTACATCCCCAGCCTTTGTTTTTCTGGACAGATAACTCAGACAGGTATTGAACTTAAGATGCTCCTGCCTCTGCCTCCTGTGTCCTGGGATTATAGGCATGCACCACCATGCTTGGCTTTGGCCGGTTATATTTCTTACATGAATTTGTATTCATATCCTTTGCTTCATTTCCTATTGTTTTCTCATTAATTCTTTCTCTTATACATGTTAATGACATTCTTTTGTTACCTGTCTTTTAACTTTAAGGATTTTTTTTCCCATTTTTATCTGATAATGTCTCATGTTTTGGTTTGTGTTCATTATCTTATATCTCATAAGGAAGGAGTTTCCTAACTATATAAAAGATTTTCCAATATTTTCCCCTAAATTTAACTCTTATTTTAAGTCAAGGGCTTACATAATTGAACTAATCTGGACTCTTTGCCTACAAAACAAACAAGAGACTTAACTTCTCTCAAATGAGTATCCATTTATCTGGATACCAGTTATCAAACAGGGCCTCCTTCTCTGATTTGTAATGCTACCTATTATATCAAGTCATATTTATGCGTGGATTTTTTTTGTTGTTGTTGAGTCACTTGAAAGCCAATACTGCACAAGTTTGTTACTCTAACTCAAAATTTTGATATGTGTGTAGGATAAAGTCCCTTCTCTCATTCTTAAATACTATTTGGCTACTTTTGCACACTTTTCCCCCAAGATGAACTGTATAGTTTCCAGTTTTCAAAAAGGACTTTTTGGAATATTAATCGGAATAATATTGAATTTATAAATTAATTTGGAAGAAAATGATTCCTTTCCCATGTGGAATCGTCCCATTTATGAAAAAGGCATATCTCCACTTAACCAGATTTCTATATAGCTCTGGTGCTCTTAAAATTCTCTGAATCATTTTCTGAATGGATTCTATTTTCTATTTTCTAGTTGGTTACTACTGTCAAATAGTTACTAATTTGTTATGTAGAGCTCATATTTGGCCATTGTTTAGTTCTTTTTTTTTTTGAAAGAACTGTGGGTTTCAGAGCAGGCACTCTTCTGCATGAACCTTACCTCCAGTGTATTTTGCTCTGATTATTTTGAAGATGGGGTCTGGAGAACTATTTGCCTGGACTGGTCTCCAACCACAATCCTCCGAATTCAACCTCCCAAGTAGCTAGCATTATAGGTGTGAGGCACTAGTACCTGGCATCTTTTTGAATTCTTAGAAGTGCTAGTAGGTTTTTCATTTGATTTTATTGGGTTCTATATGTAGGCCATAATTATCTGCAAACAGTGAGTTTCCCTTAATCCTTCCTAATCATTATCCCTTTTATTTCTTACTTGCTTCATTGTCTTAACTAGGAGCATCCATACAATGCTGAATTATATCAGTAATACCAGACATTTTTTTCTTACTACTATAAAGAAGGCTTTTGTTTTATCTTTACATTTGTTTTACTATAAATTAAGGAATTTTTTTCCATCTAATTGCTAAGAATTCTAATGGATAGTGAATACAGTCAAATTTTTTTAAGCTTGTTTATATACCTGTGTTAATTCGTTAGTGTAAAGGCTTGCAATAACAATTTTCCTAGTATTGTATTATTTCAGACAGAATAGACTCAGACATGTATTTCTAAGCATATTATTAAATTTTGTTAGCTAATACTTTATTTAGGACTTTGCTAAGTGTTTTGTTTTTGTCTTATTCTCAGGGGTTTTTTTTGCATCTGAGATTGTACTAGTGCTCCAGAATATACTCAGAAATCTTGTTTCATTTTTTTTGAGTGTGTTCCATGGAAGAGTGTAGGAATTACTTGTTCTTTGAAAGCTTAGTTAAAATATGCCCGTAAAACCATCAAGACCAGATGACTTTTTGCAGTTCAGTTATTTTTTCTTTTTTGATTTTAAAAGTTCAAAGCAACTATATGTAGTCCAAAAAGAGGAAAATATATTTTTATAATAAATAATTTCAAGTATGCATGTCTGTTAGTCTGCTTTTTCACCAAAAATATTTTTCAAAAAAATTTTTTCTTTGGCAGTACTGGGATTTGAACTCTGGGCTTCACACTTGCTAGTCAGGCATTGTGCACTTGAGCTGCACCTCCAGCCCTTTTTTGTTTTAGTTATTTTCAGGTAAAGGCTCATGGTTTTTGACCAGGGCTGGTCTCAGGTGTGATCCTCCTACCAACAACCTCTGTACCCGGGATCACAGGCACACATCACCATGCCTGGCTTATTGATTAAGATGGAGTCTTGCTAATTTTTTGCCTAGGCTGGTCTTGAACTATGGTCCCCCCATCTCCACCTCTCAAGTAGCTGAAATTACAGGTGTGAGCCACTGTGCCCAGGTGTAATATTTTGCAATCTATTCTACAACTATCAACAAAGTAACATGCCTGTGTAGAAAGGTAATCTTACTGTTGCATGTTCATTGGTTTCACATATTAATTCTAATAGTTTTCCATTGGTTGTCTGATTTCCTAGGTAGGCAATTCTGTTACATACAAATGGGTAAAAACTTTGATTCTTTTTCCATACTTATTGCTACATAGTTCTTTTCCTGATATGTTAGCTAGAATGTTCTAAGTAAAGTTGAATAAAAATAGGGATTCTTTTAGTCTTCTGTATTTTAAAGCAAGTCTTTCACTTAACAGTTACTTAGAGTATTTGCTAGAGGTTTTAATCTGATAGTCAATTACATTAATGCAGTATTCATTTCTAATTTATGAAGATATTTTATCAGATGGCATCTTGGCATTGATCAAGAAGTTTATGTAGGGCTGGTTGGGGTGCAGCTCGGTGACAGAGTGCTTGTCTAGCGTACATGAGACCTTGGGTTTGTTCTCCAGCTCACCAAAAATAAATAATGAATTCATGTAACTTTTCTTCTTTAACCTATGAATCATAATTAACCTATGAGTAGTTCCATGGCCAGACGTCACAATGAACTGTCCTTTTGGCATATTACTTTCTAATATTTGTCATTGTTGTTTGAAGTCAGTCTTTTTGGCTTTTTTAGACAGACTCTAGACACACTGTGTAGCCTAGGCTGTCCTCGGATTCATGATCCTTCTGCCTCTGCCTCCGAGTACCAGTTTTACAGAAATGTGCCACCATACCTAGTTTTTAAAGTCAGTCTTAAATCTTAGTTTTATTACTTAAACCACCTTCTGCTGTGATAAAGAAAAGATTTTAACTTTCTTAACTGTGTATTTTCTAACATGTAACATGAATACAGCCAGTCCTTTGTTATTTGGAGGTTTTAAATTTTTTTTCTTTTGTTTTTTGTTATTTTTGGTGGCACTGGGGTTTGAAGTAGGGCCTCACACTTGTTAGGCAGGGGCTGTACCACTTGAGCCACTCTGTCAGTTCTTTTTTGTGTTAGGTATTTTCGAGGTAGGTTATTAAGAACTGTTTGCCTGGGCTGACTTCAAACCTTGATCTTCCTGATTTCTGCCTCCTGAGTAGCTTGAATTATAGGTGTGAGCCACTGGCACCCAGTCTGGATTTTATTTTGTGTATATGTTCCCCTAAAACATCATCTCTGTGGAAATACAATTTCTTGAAATCCAAGTATAGCAAATTAAAATATCAGGCAAAAAATAAAAAAATTAAATTTTCAGGTAAGAACAGTTGCAAATTAATGTAGCAATTTGAGCTTTATATTTTTCAAGGCCAGGTGCCGGTAAACTCATGTTTGTAATCCTAGCTACTCAGAAAGCAGAGATTGGGAGAATGGAGGTTTGAAGCCAGCCTTAGACAAATAGTTTGTGAGACCTGATGTAAAAAAAAATCCATCACCTAAATGGGCTGGTGCAATGGCTCAAGGTGTAGGCCCTGAGTTCAAACCCCAGTACCACAAAAAAAAAAAAGAAAAATTTTTTCAAGGATGATTAACTATGTGGTAAATATTTATATATGGGTGATTATACTTAAGTCTAATTGGCTTTTACCTTTCTGTTGAAATAGTATTCTAAAAGTATTTTTTCTTCCTTTAAATAATTTTTAATAATAGGCTCTTAATGCCAGTGAAAAAACAGTTGTGGAAGCACTATTTCAGAGAGATTCACTTGTCCGACAAAGTCAGGTATGACGGTATGACTAGAATTCTGAATTTTTTTTTTTTTAACAAGCATGGAGAAAAGATAAATGACATAAGAGCACTGGAGTTATTTTAATTTAAAACTCATTAACATTCTTTCTACTTCATCTTTTCGTTTGTAATTAAAGGAATTTGGAACTTTGTTCTTTAATTTTTAAACAACAGCCTTAGCATTTCCAGGAATAGATATTAAAAACTGTATTATTCCTATAGAGAATGTTATTCTTTTGTTGTAATATTTATCTGAAAAAGTAAAAATAGTGGGAAAATATTGAAAAAATTATTACTTTTATTTGAAATTAGAAATTGTTTAAATTGAGGGTGGGAATACTACTACAAATAAAACTCTCATAGATTTTATAGTCGATACTAATCTTTTTTTTTTTCTTTCTTTCTTTCTTTTCTTAGCTGGTGGTAGATTGGTTAGAGAGTCTTGCCAAAGATGAAATTGGTGATTTTTCTGAAAATATTGAGTTTTATGCAAAATCAGTGTATTGGTAAGTCACTAAGCTTTTATTCTTGAAGTCATTTGATCTTTTTTCTTTTCTCTGATAAAGGAAGCAAATACAGAAAGCTTTTATTTTATCTGTTCAAAGTAACCAGTGCTAATGAGGCAAAAGACAAAAAAACCCAACAACTCCCCAATGCTACTTTCAAAACCAACATACCAAATTTGATTTTCATTAGAATATGGTTATCTTTTTCATACTAGTTATTCAAAAACCAAGACTCAGATTTTGTATGTATGTATAAATGTATATAAAAAAACAGTGCAGACAGTTACTGAGCTTCATCTTCTGGACAGGAATGCCAAGTTAGTCTCTCTTTATAAAATGCAATTACAATTTGAGGACACTTCATATTTGCTTCTTTTGCCAGAACCAAGTCTGCCTCATCTGAATCTTTCCAGTTCATGAGAAATGTCAATTCTCCACTCCTGTCTGTGGCACAACTACTCATTCAGGATCAGGACCTCTAGCAAATCCTCTTGGTTTGTCAGCAGCATCTCCTTTTTCTTTGATTTACCATCATCAGATTCACTGTCAGATAAAGAGTTTCTTTTTGTACCATCTTTTTCTTTACCAGCTTTTTGAGAATTAAGAAATGTTTCATTAACTCTGGACAATCTAAATTTTCTTCAGGTTTCCAAGTATTGTCAGCATCTTTAAATCCTTTCTACTTCTGGAACTACTCCACCTTCCATTCACTACATGTTGATCCAGTACTTTTTCCACCACAGACTCATTAGGCTCTGCCTCTTCAACTTTTTTATTCTTTCCATTCTATTCCTTTCCCATTTTTTACAAAGTAGTTTTATTGGAGGCCATTTTTAATTGCAGACTTGAAGCACTGTTGCACCTCAGATGCTCCAGATCGCAGGTCCTGCAGCATCTGCAGCCTGCACACGTTCAACTCTGATGGCATTTAATTTTTATTTTGTCCATTCATCTTTCAATAAAACTTAGTCAGCTTTTACTTTTCAAATTGTGAGCAAAATAGATAAAACTCTGCCTTTTATTTGCATTCATTTAGAAGAGTTACACAGCAAACACACCCATTGGGAATTAAGAGCTTTGGAAAAGACATGAATTAGAATTAATGGATAGAGGACAATTAGCTTAAATAGAAGCAGTGGACAGGAAATGCCTGTCAAAGAAAATAACAAGTAGTAAGAGGCTTTTTGTTTGTTTTTGTTTTAGAGAAAGGCTCTCACTAACTTTGTCTAGGCTGGCCTTGAACTCATGATTGTCCTCCTGGAAACCTATAAAAGGTTTTTAAGAAATAAAGGAGGCTAGGTGTGGTGGTGTGCACCTATAATTCCAGGTACTTGGGAGGCTGAGGCAAAAATGTTACTTGAGCCCAGGGGTTACAGGCTAGCCTGTAACATAGTGAGACCCTGTCTCAAAAAAAAAAAAAAAAAGCAAGTCATACAAAAATCTGGGAGACAGTTGCTCTGAATAGGAATAGAACCACAAAGACCCTGAGAAGGTAAAGTATTTGCACAAGGAGGCCAATATGAACACAGAAAGAAAAAGAAGAACAGCAGATGAGAGAGAGCCTGATCAGATAAGACTTACACGTGGACCATTGTAAGGATTTTGGATTTTATTATAAATATGATGAGAAATGAGAAAGCTTGAGAATAAAGGAATGGCATGGTCCAGTTTATGTTTTCATACAATCACCTTTTTTTTTTTTTTTTTTCCAATAACCATAATTTGATTATCAAGAAGACACTTGTGCCAGGTGTGGTGGGCATATCTATAATCCCAGCACTGGGAATGCAGAGGCAGGAGAATCACCAGTTTGAGGCTATCCTAACCTACATAGCCAGTTTCAGTCCATCTTGTATCACACAGTAAGTTTCTGTCTGAAAAAAACAAAAGACTACTGCCATGTTTCTAGCCACATGTGATCTTTAAATCTTTCCTTAGGTCCTTCAGTACTTCTAAATTATTGTAGGACTTTGAAACTAAAAGTACCCCAGATTAAGGGGACAATTTATTTCTGGATTTGAGAAAGTTCAGATAGCCTTCGAATTCAGTAATGTGTAGACATGTTACTATAATTATTCTTTTTTTCCAGTTAAATAGGAAATTAGTGTTAAACAATGCTTATTAAAAATTAAATCTTGTGTATGGCCTGGTGGTACACACCTATAATCCTAGCAGTTGGGAGGCTGAGGCATGAAGATTGTAAATTTGGGTCCAGCCTGGGCTATAAGCAAGACTCTCTCCAAAAAACAAATAAATAAATAAATCTTGAATAGTTGATTTTTTTGAAATACAGAGAAATGCTCATTTTCACATTTCCCTGACAAGGCTTTTGCAACTTTTTCATGAACTAGTCTCCTTTTTTTTTTTTTAAATGCTAATCAGTTTTACAAAATAGAGAATCCCAAAACAGACCCAACACTTAAATGATCATTTTATTTTCAACAAAGACCTCAGAGCAATCAAGTAGGACTAGATTATCTTTTTATAAACTGCAGAAAAACATTACCTCTTAAAAAAGATTTAACCATGACAGCTTCCTCACATTGTACCCAGCAATTAATTCAAGGTGCATCGTGGTCCAAAATGTAAAGACTAAACTCATAATCTTTAGATGGAAAGCATAGGAAAAGATCTTTATGATGTGGGAATGGGTAGATGCTTCTTAGGTTACGGGAGGCAATAATAAGAGAACAAGCCAAAGACTGGTAGAAACATACAGAAGGTGTAGTTTGTAAAGAACTACAACTCAGTAACAAAGATAAAACCCAGTAAAAGGGGCAAAGACTTGAACCTCAGAAAAGCAGATAGGTGAATGGGTGAGAAAGACATGAATGAGTGTTTAATATCATTAAACTTGACTTTCCTTCTATGTTAAGGATTTTTGCATCTTTTTTTCTAGGTTTGTTGTCTTTTTGTTTTTATTTTGATTTGATTTAAAAAATTTTTTACATAGGCCTATTTAAATTGGCCATCCTAAAAAAAAATTGGTACTTTTTCTTTTAGGGAAAATACTCTCCATACCCTGAAACAACGACAGCTACCTTCTTATATAGGAAGTGTCCGTCCTCTTGTCACTGAATTGGTAAGTGTCCTTTAAAGTGATGGTTGTTCTCTAAGTTAAGTGATTTTTTTTTTAAGGCTGAGAGTTTTTCTTGTTTTTGGTTTTAGTTCCCGAAGGTTTTATACCCACTAAATTTTACTCTAGAACAACTAAGTTGCATATAAGTTTGATGGAATGTATTTGAAGATATAGACAGTGTATCTAATAATGCCGGCATTAAAAACACTAATTTTGGTTTATACCAAAGTTTGACCCTTTAATTATAAAGTTAGTGACCTATGAAAGCTCTTTCTTATAGGAAGTAGGGGGTAAAAATAGAAACCTGTGAGTTATCTTGAGGTTAAAAAGGATATTTTAAGATATGAGTAATAGGAATGACAGTAGATTTGAAAAGAACAGGAGAAATAAAGGAAACTGAAGAAAGGTATGTAAAATGTAGTGACAAGTGAGTGAAATAAGTATCAATTGAAAACTCATAAAATTCCATTTGGTAACAAAGGTGGGTTTTGCTGAAAATTATTTGGAAACTACCAGAAAATCTTGAAATAAATAGTAGTTACGTTATCTTGCAGCAAGTAGCAGCTGAAAATCATTTATTTATTTATTTATTTGGTGAGACTGGGGTTTGAACTCAGGGCTTTGCCATTGTAAAGTCGGCGCTTTGCTGCTTGAGCCACACTGCCAGTCCATTTTGCTCTGTTATATTTTGGAGATTCAGTCTCAAACTGTTTGCCTAGGCTGGCCTCAAATCACAGTTCTTCTGATGTCAGGCTCCCCAAGTAATTAGAATTACAGGCATGAGCTAGCAGCGAAAGTGGCGATTTTCTTTTGCTAGAGAGAGACCATGATCAAAAAGTGAATAATTAGTTCTGCAAAATACTTGTGAAAGTAGCCAATCCTCCTTTCTTAAGTCACGTTTAAATTTTTGTTTGAAATTCGCTATGTAGGTCATGTGTGCTATTTGCTGCTGAAGTGAGGATGAGACTAAACTAAATGTTTAAAAGCACATGAAATGTAATGGGTAGTAGTAACAATTTGAATACGATCTTGCTCTGTGTAGCCAGGCTGGCCTTGAACTCACAATTCTCCTGAGTATGATGAAAGATTTTATTTATTTATTAGAAGCCTATTTAATGTTTTTTGACATTGTGGGCTTTTTAAGTGAGGCAGTAGGGAATTGTGTGACTATTTGAAACACTTTTGACACTTTCATTTTTTTAATCTTTTTTTGTTTCATTTATTTCTTAACTAGATTATAAAGGAATTTATTTTGGTATCTAAACTCAGGATAGAGTTAGCATGTCATGATGATGTCTGGGAAGGTATAGCTCAAAGTTAGTGTTTCCTAGCTTGTGCTATGCCCTGAATTTGATCTCTAGCACTGCATGAATATACAGAATGTATATGGACATACAAGATTTATAGTTGATGATGAATTGGTTTTACAGGATCCTGATGCTCCCATTAGACAGAAAATGCCACTTGATGATCTGGATAGAGAAGACGAAGTTAGATTACTCAAGTACCTTTTTACTCTAATCCGTGCTGGAATGACAGAAGAGGTAAGTCTTGTGATACCCTGCCTGTCCAATTTCAAAAAACTGTAAACTCTTGAAGTTGGAGGAGACCTTTGTGGCCACCTAGTATGCTTCTTCGATGCAGTATTTCCATTTATGGTATTTCTGGATCTACCCTCCTTATTAGACATTTCCAGTGATAAGATGCACATGGCTTTAGAGAGTAGCACACTCTAATTTGCACAACTGATTACTAGAAAATTCTTTAACAAGTCAAACTTTGCCTCCCCGTATTGCACTGCATACCCTTAGGTGTATCCTCATCATGTCTACATCTTACTTTTAAGAGTTCAAAGTAACTCTAACCCAAGGTGACACTGTTAAGCACTTGTAAGCTGTAGTGACTCTCAGATTTTTTTCTTGGCCATGTCAGACATAAGAAAATTGCAGCAATGGACTAAATAACCACTAGCACCCTTCTCATAGAGATTAACTTTTCTAATAAATGAAAGGCCGACAACCTCATTTGTTTCTAGTAGAATTAAATGACTTGGGAACCTATATCATTAGATAACTAATGATATAGATTGCTTGTATAATGATATATATTGCTTGTACAATGCACTGATGATGTCACTCACTGCTGTTTCTTGTTTTAAAGGCACAACGACTCTGTAAACGCTGTGGCCAAGCATGGAGAGCTGCAACACTTGAAGGCTGGAAATTGTATCATGACCCTAATGTTAATGGAGGTATTTTAGTAGGTTTTTATTCTGAGGTTAGGGATAAAGATATTTATTTCTAAATGCCAGTCAGTCTTTGCAAACTATAGCTTTTCTTTTTAGGAGTGATTTGAAATAAGATCTCATTTTAAACTATAAACTTTCTTTTACTGTCTTATAGGAACAGAATTAGAACCTGTTGAAGGGAATCCTTATAGACGAATTTGGAAAATTAGTTGTTGGAGAATGGCAGAAGATGTAAGATAAATAAAATATTCACTGATACTGATTTTTTACTCCAATTTAATTGTGAAGGCTTTCAGAGGGACGGTGAAGTAATTCAGTGTAACATGAGACTAAAGTTCCTATTTTCAAAGAAGTTCTTGTGGAGTTGAGGAATAGGATTAACCATTCAGACACGAAGGACTAAGAATTGAACACTGAGACAAGACAAAAATGTAAAAGAGGTACCAAATGAGTTTAAACAAAAAGCATTGAACTAAAGCTTAAAGCTGGTTTAGGGAGACATCTGAGTTAAACTGTTTTAAATCAGTAGGATTTGAGTTGTTGGGAATGAAAACAGGAAGGAATTCTAGGTAAAATGCAAAGTTTGAGGAGAAATGGTAGGTCTACAAGGTTGGCGTAGAAGACTTGTTAGAGGAAATTGAGTCAGTTCTGTTAGGACATGGCATAAGCATTCCTAAAAATCACCGCAGCATGCAAAATTCAACAAGAAAACACACAGGGCTTATGGGAAAATGGACTTAAGACAACAGTAATTAAAAACTTCTATCAGTAATGCATAAAAAAGAAAAAGTCAGTGAAAGTGGTAGTATAATTTTTACATCTGACAAGTAGGTAAGAAAAAAACAATAAGTTTGGCACTGCACCTTGAAAAAGACCTGGAATTTGCTTGTTGGATCGTGTGTCAGAAGGGTGCAGAGCCTCGAGAACACATGGTAGAAATGGAGAACACATGGTAGCATGGAGAGTCGACTTGAAAGAACTACGTGCTGAGAAGGTACTTAGGAGCCTATCAGAATTACTCAGCCATTGAATAATAAGAGCCGGGGCAGCACTGACGGGAAGGGGAAGGAAGGGAGTAGGACAGTCAGGACCAGTGATTGGAACAGAAGGCAGAGGTAGGCTTTAGGAAGAGTCAGATCTCGTTTGGGTGATAAGAAAATGAATGTCATTAACAGAACCCCAAACGTAAAATTGGATGTCTCATTTATGTAATGACGTCTACCTAGAACTCAAATGCAAACTGACACATGCCTTGTTTCAGTGCTGTTCCTATGTCAACATCAGGGAAGTGTCAGGTGCTTAGAAATATTCTAGGAGAAAACACCTATCTTTAGTTTCTGTCTGGAATAAATTTGGTTGTCAATAATCAAAACATCCATTCAAGTGGCTCTGCTTTCACCTATATTTGAAATTTAAATGTTTGATTTTTTTTTTTCCTGAAGAATTTGATATTATTTTATCAAACTAAGAGACCAGACTTTTCAAAAAGTTTAGAAACTATCAAGTGAATAGGTTCAGTCTAGAAGAAATTGTAAGTTCTAGATTGTGAAGAAAACTAAGAATATTATGAAAAACAATTATTTCAAATATATTTTTATTCATTTTAGGAGCTTTTTAATAGATATGAAAGAGCAATCTATGCAGCTTTAAGTGGGAATATTAAGCAGGTATGCAGTCTTTTAATATTTAATCTTTTTCTGTGGATGCTTAAATACTCTAATAATCATATATAACTGCTTATAAACTTGTTATTTTCTAAAAGCAATGCTAGAGATAATCATAAAAGAAAAATGTGACAAACTGCTTAATTTGAAGTGTCCCCTATATGCATGATTTTGATTTTGGGGGATTTGTGGGTTTAGGGTTATTTTTAGGGGTTTTTTTTGGCAGTAATGGGGTTTGAATTCCACCTTATGCTTACTAGGAAGACAATCTGCCAGTTGAGCCACACTCCCAGCCCTTTCAGGCTTTAGTTATTTTTTTGGATAAGTGTTTTTGCCTAGGACCAAGCTCAGACTGAGAACTTTCTACCTATGCCTCCCATGTATCTGGGATCATGGGTGGCATGCCATCATGATGTCTTATGGTTGAGATGGGGTCTCAAATCTTGCTCTCCCATTCTCCATTGTGCTCAGCATGTGTGTGGTTTTTTGAAGTAGGGTCTTGTTATATAGTCCAGACTAGCCTCAAATTTTCAATCTTACTGCCTCAGCCTTCCAAGTACTGGAATTATAGGTGTGCACCTCTACACTCAGCTCTTGTATAATGTTTTAATAAATGAAACCAGATTTTAATTTCTAACTAAAAGTTGTCAATTTAATTGCAATACTCATTTATTGATGATTCTTAATACTCAAAACTATATCTAGAAATGTGCCACCAAGGAACAGTGACTGCTTGGGTTCTCTTACATATGTGTTTCTCACAACCCCTGTTGTCCTCTACATTTTATAGCTGTTTTGAAAGATGCTATAATTAATTGAGATGCCATCTGTATCAGCATGAAAAATTGATGCTACTATCAATCTGGTATGGAAAAAAATCTTAATGGTTCAAACTTCTTAGAAGACATAGTTTGGGAGAAAAAAGACTTATCATGAAGTAACTTTTCAGTATGTGTGAATGGATGTAATTGCTTTTCCTTTCTTTTTTTTGTTGAATATGTCTGCATGTTTCTGTTTTTAAATGGGGTAAAGCTCCTTCCTGTCTGTGACACCTGGGAAGACACAGTATGGGCCTACTTCCGAGTGATGGTGGACAGTCTGGTAGAGCAGGAGATCCGGACATCAGTAATGACTCTGGATGAGACAGAAGAACTCCCTAGAGAATATTTAGAAGCAAAGTGAGTGTGTTGTTCGATTTTCCTTGTAGTGATTTGTCGTATGCTCTTTGAAGTTTTAGTTTACAGCCCTTTTTCATATTATTAATATTGTTCTCTTTCCTGTTTTTCTCTTTTGAAGTTGGACCTTAGAAAAGGTTTTTGAGGAACTTCAGGCTACAGATAAAAAGGTAAATGTTAATATGAACTTGTTAGTATCTGAGGACTAGCAAATAAATGCTGTAGTGCTGTGTACAGCAACTGAAAGGAACAAAAGGAGTTTTGTTCTCCTTTCCCATCTTTTCCTTGTCTATTATCAAAATAAGAGACATTCTTTAAAAAGAAAGAAACTTAATTATGTATATGACCATCATTTCTGTTTGGTTTAGGATTGACTTTATCCAAATACATACATAGAAGATACAGTTACCCCTTTTATGAAAATTTAAGACATATAATGGAGACTTACTAAGAGTTTCTTTTCTTAGATCCCATACTAATCTAATGTTAAAAATAATAGTCTTAAATTTTTTAAAGTAACTAAAGCAGTACTGTATGTACTTATAATAACAGAATCATGCAAAGATGAAAAATTAGACCTTTTTTAACTTCCTTTAAAAGATTATTCTCATTCCTTGAAATGAGAAAACATTCTGACCTACATTTTTCCATATCTTTCTCCATGACCTTTTAAGTAAGTGTAAATTATGTAAATATCCCAATATAGTATTTCAGGATTGTTTTGTTTTCATACCACCTTATTCCACAACTTGAGTTTTTTCCATTTAGTGATAAATCTCTTGAGTTAGTTGCTCTGTTATAACTTAGCATTCTTTTTAGTAGATACATAACATTCTGTACACTGAGGTATACTTCTGGTTTAATCATTCCCCTTTGGATGGTATTTCGATTTATTTTCTAGTGCTATAAAGAACATTCACATGTGTGAGCTTATCTAGTAGTCTTTCTGTTTCTTCAGGATAAGTATCCTAAAAGCAGCACTGCTGGGTTAAAGAATACTAATATTCTCTCTCTCTCTCTCACACACACACACACACACACACACGTTTCTAAATTACCCAAAAACATCCTGTTGTATACCTTAAATATATACAATTAAAAGAAAAAGAAACATTTATAATAGAAAAAATAATTGTCAAGTTTGTCACAGTGAATTATACTCCCACAAGTAATTTATTAAATTATGCATTCTTGCCAGTCCCAATGTCACACTTTTTAATTTTTGCCATCCAGCAGAATAAATGGGAAATAGGGGCTCAGTATGCTACTCCTATTTCTTGTCTATTCACGGAGCTGAGCAAGTTTCTTTTTATTTGTGAATTTCTTATTCAGATCTTTTAGCCATTTTTTCTTTTTTTGGTGGGATTGGGGTTTGAGTTTAGGGCCTCACACTCACAAAGCAAGAGTTCTACTGCTTAAGCCACACCTCCAGTTCATCTTGCTCTGGTTATTTTGGAGATGGGGGACTTACGAGCTATTTGCCTGGGCTGGTCTCAAACCTGGATCCTCCTGATCTCTACCTCTCAAGTAGCTAGGATTACAGATGTGAGCCTCTGTATTCTCCAGTGCTATTTTTCTAAGTAGCTAAAAGACTGGGTTTAATTTTTCCTTATTGTTTTATGGATATACTTTGTGTAGGAAGGAAATCAATGTTTTTTGTTTTGTTAAGTGCTTATTACCAGTCTATTATTTGGAAGATGCTAGCTAATGAAGTAAAACTAAGTGACAGAATATAAATATCAGGAAGGGGGGGTCATATAGCAAAAGTATTAATCTGGAAACTTTTTATTTTGGCGGTACTGGGGTTTGAATTCACGGCCTTGCACTTGCTAAACAGGAACTCTACACTTGAGCCACACCTCCAGCTCTGATAATTTGTTACGGTAGCTGAATATAAGCCAAACACTGGTGGCTCATTCCTATAATCCTAGGTACTTGGCAGTTTGAGCTTGGGAGGATCAAGGTTTGAGGTCAGCCTCGGCAAATAATTCTCAAGACCCTATTCCCAAAATAACCAGAGTAAAATGGACTGGAACTGTGGCTCAGGTGGTGGAACATCTGCTTTGCGAGGACAAAGGCCTGAGTTCAAACCCCAGTCTCATTAAAAAAAATTTAAAAATTAGCTAAATACAAGACAGAATTGCAAAAAAGTGTAGCCTTTCTGTACTTGTTATAACTAGTTAGAAAAGGATGTAGCTTCCAGAGCTCCCTGCTTTCAAAGAGTCTCATATAAATAAATAAAATGAGAGAGAGCTAGGAATAAAATTAACCAAGTGTTTCAGGACCCTCATAAAGAAAAGGATAGAATCTTATGGCCAGGTGTGATAGCTCGTGCGTATAATCCCAGCTACTCAGGAGGTGATAGTCAAGTGGTTCAAGACAAGCCTGGGCCAAAAGTTAACATGATCCCCATCTCAACAAACAAGCCAGGCATAGTAACGCACATCTGTAATCCAAGCTATGTGGGAGGCATAGGAAGTAGAATTCCAGTATTAGGCATACTTGGGCAAAAATGCAAAACCCTATCAGTAATATAACCTACAGCTAAAAGAGCTGGAGCGATGGCTCAAGAGAGAAAGCATGGTTAACAAGCATAATACCCTGAGTTCAAACCCCAGTACCACCAGAAGGGAAAAAAAAGAGAAAGAAAAGGTTAGAATCTTGTTGGAAGACAAAGTAAGACATGAAAAAATGAATATAACAATACATTCCTGGATGAGAAAACTTGTTAATGTTAGTATTGTAAAATTAATGTGGAAACCTTAAGCTTGGAGATTATTTCTGGACAGAGAATTTTGAACTAGAAGAATAAATGAGAATGGCAAAAATATTTTGAAAAAGAGTAAATAGTTCATTAATGATGCAACGAAACAGTACAGAGTTTACATGCGTGGAATCTTGGCAAAGTGCAAATTTGAGCCAGTGAGCGCTTAAGAGATGCCAGCCAGAGATGATCTTCTATTCCAAAGGAAATGGATTTTCTTAAAGACGCCTTTGTGTGCTCCTTCAAAACTTTGTCATTTGTAGTGTGGTGACAAGGGCGTCCTGGGTCAGCCACTGAAAGATTTACAGAAAATATAAACTTCTTTTCAGCGAGTTCTGGAGGAGAACCAGGAGCACTATCATGTCGTTCAAAAATTCCTCATCTTGGGAGACATCGACGGTAAGATGCTGTGTTATTTTACTTTGAGTTCTTTGGTTTTTAATGGTAATTTTTACAAAAGTTATCAAAACTCATGTGACTCATTACCTTTTTGTAGTACTGGGGCTTGAACTCAGGGCCTCAGACTTGGTAGACAGGTGCTGTACCACCTGAACCATGCCCCCAGACTTTTTTTTTTTGCTTAAGTTATTTTTTGGATAGGGTGTCACAGTTTTGCCTAGGCTGGTCTGGACTGTGATCCTCCTACTTATGCCTCCCATGTTGCTGGGGTTATATATGTGAACTAACATGGCCTGGCTTGTTTTTTGAAATGGGGTCTCACTAACTTTGTGCCTGGGATTGGCCCCAAACCTTGAGCCTCCTGATCTTTGCCTCTAAGTAGCTGGGATTACGAGCATGCACCACTGCATTAGGCCAAATTACTTCTTTTTTTTTTGGCTGTACTGGGGCTTGAACTCAGGACCTTGTGCTTGCTGCACTTCTAGTCCCCTAACTTCATCTTTTGATTATTATAAATGTCCACCTACTTGAATGCAATTATTTGCTTAATTGTAATCATAAAGTAAAATTTGATTTTAACCCAGAGTCTGTTGAAGAGGATATAGAGAACCATATGACTATTAACAATGAGACAGTGACTTCATAGCACTGTAGGGGTGGGGTAAATATTCTTAGTAATGTTTCTTTCTTGAGTTTATTTTTGCTGTTGAATCTTTGTTTTCCTGGCTTGTAGGTTTGATGGATGAGTTCAGCAAATGGCTTTCCAGAAGCAGAAGCAGTCTGCCTGGGCACCTCCTCCGCTTTATGACGCACCTTATTCTGTTTTTCCGTACCCTAGGACTACAGACCAAAGTAAATAAAGACAGCTTGCCCTTCTCTGCAGATGCTGATGCTACATACCTGTCATCAGGAAAACACATTGCGTCTGTTGTTTCCTAGAAGTGGCAATGAGTGTGCACAAGTTTTCTGTGTAGACTCCTGTGGTCACCCAGTGATAGGCCCAGTGAGTGGCCTTTTAGGGGTCCAGTCTGCCATGAATGCTGAGAGCTGCTTGATTTGTCATGACTTTATCCTCATCGGTGTCCAACTTTTAAGTCTACCAGCTAGGCTAACCAAGTTCTCTGTGAGATTGTAAACCTTTTCTTTTTCTTTTGTGTTGTTTCTTTTTCTTAAATGTTGATTACATTTTGTCAGAGTACATGTAGAGCAGAATGATACAGCAGTTGAAAACTTCAGCTTCAGAGTAAAAACCTTGAGTTCAAATCTTTACTCACCAACTTCTAGCTGTATAATTCTGGGTATATAAGACCTCCCTGGGTCTTTGTTTCTTCAATCAGACAGTATCTAAGCTTTGCTGAGCACTTAGCCTGGTGTATAATTATTGCTCAATGACAAATACTAAATCATTTAAAAGCACACTCTTTATATTAGAAATTGTATTACTAGTACATATAAGCAGTTAAGCAAGGGTGTTTATAATTGAACTATGTCTCTTTTCCTATGAAGGAAGAAGTTTCTATTGACGTTTTAAAGACATACATACAGGTAAACTTGGGGATTTTTTTTTTTCATATTTTAATAAATACCCAGTGGTAAGAAAGTTACCAGAATCCATAAGAAAGCTTTGAACTATCCTAAGTACGTTTTTGGAATTTAAAGTTATTCTGATTAGCAGCACAAGTCCATCTTTGTTTGAATCTTTCCTTAAACATAATTGAAACTTTAAAGTAAACCTTTTCAAAGCTCCACTGATCCTAGAACTTATTTCATTATTGACTTACGTTGATCTTTTCCTGTTTCTTAGCTTTTAATCAATGAGAAACATACAAATCTCATAGCATTTTATGCCTGTCATTTGCCTCAAGACCTTGCGGTTGCCCAGTATGCATTATTTTTGGAAGGTGTTACAGAATTTGAACAGCGCCACCACTGCCTGGAGCTGGCTAAAGAAGCAGGTAAAAATGACTGGGAACTTCATTTATTGTCTTTTTTTTTTTTTTAAAGCTATGTTAACTATGATTACTTTGGTCATATCTAATCCCTCTCTCATATCTATTGGCCTTTGTAGGCAAATTCTCTTTTCAGCTCTGACAACTTTTGTCAGACTTTTGAGTGCTGACTCTTATTTCTCTTGAGGGGGAAAAAGGGAATAAATTTTTCAGTGAAGTTTTGTTTGCAGAATAAAATAATTTATACACTAACTCAAGTGTAATTTTTTTAAAATTTTGACATTTTCTTTTATGTTGGCTTTTAGATTTTCCATATTACATTTTTAGGAACATGATTTTGGTGGGGAGGTATAGGACTGAGGTTGAACTCATCACTTTGCACTTGCAAAGTAGGCACTCTACCAACATAATGTATTTTTGAAAAATTGTTCTAGGGGCTGGAAATGTAGCTCAGTGGTAGAGTGCTCGCCTAGCATATGTGAGGCTCTGGGTTGGATTCCTAGCATTGAATAAACTAAAAAAATTGCTTCAAATTTATCAAATCATTTTAACTGTTTAAAGAGTATTAGTATTAATGATTATTCTTTGTTTTTGGCACTTCAAAAAATTGTTTAGATTTGGATGTTGCAACAATTACAAAAACTGTAGTGGAGAACATCCGAAAGAAAGACAGTGGTGAATTTAGCCATCATGACCTGGCTCCTGCACTAGACACCGGCACTACTGAGGTAATTTGAGGCAGGGCAAGGTGAGAGTGTTGTGTAACTTCCTGTAATCCTTCCTATTTGGTGAATTTCTACTTTAAAATACACTAGTTTTTGGTATGTTGGGTTTTTTTGCTACAGGAAAATTTTTTTTTTTCCTTTTTTTTTTTTTTTTTGTTGGGATTGGGGTTTGAACTCACCTCCACTCCATTTTGTTCTGGTTATTTTGGAGATGGGAGTATCTTGAGCTGTTTGCCTGTTTTGAGGAAGAAAGAGAAGTTATAATCTAAGAGAAAAGAAAACTTTAGGGCTGGTGGTATGGCATAGTGGTAGAGTACTTGCCTAGATTTCATGAGGGTCCATCCCCAGCACCATAAAAAAAGGGAGAAAATTAGAAAAAACAAAAAGAAGAAGAAAGAAAACAATTTTAGAGTAGCACTTTAAAAATCACATGGTTAAATTGTTGGAGCTTATGCTGGGTAATTCCAGATTCACAGCCAGTGAGTTTTTTTCTGTAATTTAGTAAAAAAGCTATTAAGTAGGAAAACAAAGAAAGTTTGATGATTTGATAATTTTATATAACTTGAGGGAGAATGTTCGCCAGATGTGCAGATATAAGTTAGTTCTACTGATCTGCAGAAATAAAACTGATGGGGTTTTTTTCTCCCCTTTAAATGAATAGGAAGACCGTTTAAAGATTGATGTAATAGACTGGTTGGTATTTGACCCAGCGCAGAGGGCAGAAGCACTGAAACAAGGCAATGCGATTATGAGAAAATTCTTAGGTATGCTATATGTTCATATACTTTGTTCAGAATCATAAATTTTTGAACTTTGTTTTGTGTTTTGGTTTTGATCCATTCACCAGTGGGGGGGGTGACAGTTACTCTTATATACCAAACCTGGAATTATGAAACAAATCCTTTTTAACAGTGAATTTTCATTATCATAATATTTTGTATATAATGTCATAATTATTGTACTTTGAAAAGTCTCTTTGTTTCCTTTAAGACACAAGTCTGTGAAAGTACCTGCATTTAATGTATACTCTTGTGTTATAAGGAAAGGGTCAGTTCAGTTGGTAGAACGATCACCAAGACCTTTTTAACGGGAGTTGTTGAGACTTGAAACGTACCAATGGTTTGATTCCTTGAGAAGCTGTTACATGAATTCCATATATTTTGAAAGTTGTGTATTCATTTTCACAGCATCAAAAAAGCATGAAGCTGCAAAAGAAGTATTCGTGAAAATTCCTCAGGATTCTATAGCAGAAATCTATAATCAGTGGGAGGAACAAGGAATGGAAAGTCCACTTCCTGCTGAAGATGATAATGCTATCAGAGAACATTTGTGCATTAGAGCTTATTTGGTGAGATTGTAAAGAAAACTATAGTCTTTGCAGTTATTTTTTTGATTCCCTTCTTGGATTGAACTGTTTCCCAGAAGTGGTGATTGATTCATTTAACCTTCTGTATGATTGCAGTGCTGACTGATCCACAGGGATTGAAATCCTGGCCTTGTTTTCAGTAGTACAATTCTCTATTGATTGCTAACCAGCTGAGATTAGATAGTATATATGATGTCAGGAACTCATGTTTTTTTACCATTCTGTGAATGCTTGTCTCAACTATTTCTTTTCTTCTTTCTTGTGGGTCTAGGGTTGGAATTCAGGGTGTCATGCTTTCAAAGCAAGCGTTCTTCTGCTTGAGCGACACCTTTAGCCCTCAGCTTTTCTATTTCTGCTTTTGGCAATATCTGAGAAATGCAAGATATTCTAGATTTGTCAGAACTAAAATAACAGCATATGAATTCAAAATTATTCATCAAATTATCATTGTTTACAGTTGGCTAAGTAGTATGATTAAATTTGTGGCTAGCATTCTGTGTTAGCCCTCTGCAAGCTAATAGGCTAACCAAAAAGATAGGTAAGGGGCTGGAGGCATGACTCACGCGATAGAACTCCTGCTTAACATGCATGAAGCCTGACTTCAAGCCCCCAATACCACCCAAAAAAAAGAAGAAAAAAAGGTACATAAGCATGCATACTTCACAGTAGGACAAGTGGTAACATATATATACATATATGATCATGGGGCTGACCTAGGAGTAGATGCCAGAAAACATCACGGTATGTATACTTCGCAGGTATTTGTCCCTTTATAAAACACAGTATTCGCAATGATGTTTTTGTATGTGCAAAAGGTAAATATTGAGCATTTTATTTCAAAATTATTTCTAAGAATAATATATTTTTAAAGCTTTACAAACAAAGTTAAGACTTCTATTTATTTCCTTTTTGTTTTACATTGTAGGAAGCCCATGAAACCTTCAATGAATGGTTTAAGCATATGAATTCAGCTCCACAAAAACCAACTTTGATACCCCAACCAACTTTTACTGAGAAAGTGGCTTATGAACACAAAGAAAAGAAATATGAAGTAAGTTGAAGATGAATCTGAGATAAACCTATTTTATCTTAAAAATGTGTGTTAGTACTTAAAGAGGTCATTTTTTCAGCAGTTGTAGCCCAGTTATAACAAGCAGTCTTCTTGTTAATGTTCTGCTTTGAAAAAGAGCCATCTGTTTAGTTACTTTTCTGTAGATAATTGACTAATCTTGAAAAATACCTGTAGGTGATGTTAGCATTCAGTTATAAAGTTTAGTACTTAACTGCTGTCTGTTGATACTTATTTTTTATAGTTGGCTGGCTAAAAAACCAACTCTTAAGAATGATGTTTTATATATATTCCTATCTGTCTTCTATATGTATATTCATCCTCAGGCTTTCTTTTTCTGACCAGAACAAAAACCAGTAGGGACAGGAGATGAAATTAGATGTCCTGTTTCCTGCTATTACTGGTAGATTAATTATAGTAAATGTCTCCACTTCTAAATCCTGAAGTTCATAAAGTATTAAAAATATATCATCTGTGGTTTTGCCCATTATGTCTGCCATATGTTTGTTTTGCAGATGGATTATGGTATTTGGAAAGGGCATTTGGATGCCCTAACTGCTGATGTGAAGGAGAAAATGTACAACGTCTTGTTGTTTGTTGATGGAGGGTGGATGGTAGATGTCAGAGAGGTAGGTCGTGTGTGGCTTTTAAAAAACAAAAAACAAAAAACCAACACATATACACTTGGTTTTTTTTGTTTGTTTGTTTTTACAAATGTCCTATCTCTGCATAGGAGCATCTATAGAGTCTATGTAACATTTAAATTTGTGGTTATAACTAAACATTCCATATTTTAAATTCTAGCTAGGGAACAGGAATATTTTATCCTTAGGTAAACTATTGCTTCACATTTTATATCCTCACAAGATACTAAGATCTACTTTTTTAAAATTCTGAACCTAAAATTTTAATTACACATGTATTTCACTTAACTTAGAGATAGTAAGTTTATAAAGTAGTGATTCCAGTGACTCTTACCTCTAAGCTATCCCGCTAAATGACTTGGCAACCTTTTAAAAAAATACAGGGTTCCATGCCCAGAGATTCTGTTAAATTAGTCTGAGGTAGGTTCAGGCCTTTTTTTTTTCCTGGTACTGGGGCTTGAACTCAGGGTCTCAGGCTTGGTAGGCAGGCACTCTGCCACTTGAGCCATCCCACCAGCCTTTTCATGTTGAGTATTTTCAAACCAGGGTCTCCAACTAATTCCCATGCTGGCTGTGAGCCCCAGTCCTCATCTCTGCCTCCCAAGTAGCCGGCACTGGCCAGACCTTTTTTTTTAATCACCTGAAGTGCTTTTATGTGTGGTTTGGATTTTGAACCAGTTACAAATTAAATGCCATAAGAAAAGCATAAATTAAATATCTCAGTCCAAACAAAGACAAGATTGCTTTAGGCTGGGGATGTAACTCAATGTTAGAAGGCTTGCCCAGCACCCAGGATGCCCTGAGTTCCCAGCACTACAAAAAAAGAAAAAAATTGCTTTTGCTTGGAAGGGATGAGGACAGGACGCTTGAAATGTATGACATTATGTGAAAAACACTGAGGCCTGGTCCTGGGACATGAGAGAAATGGCAGCTCGATTTTGCCTCTGCAGATAGCTATCCCAGGAGAACTGGAAATCTGGATTCTTGATTATTTTGGACAGAGAAAAATAGTATCCTTGTCTTTTCTTCTGGCATTCCTCATATCCTTTTATATTTATTATTTTTTCTTTATTTTGGTGGTACAGGGGTTGGAATTCAGGGCCTTGTGCTTGCCAAGCAGGCATTCTTCTTTAATTTTAGACACTGTTAGAAATATTGGGCCCTGCTGTGATCTCATATCAGACATGTGCTCGAAAGTTAATGAGCAAGTCAAAATTTACTTCTGCAGAAGGATGTATACCTCCAACCGGAGTCAGGCAAGCAAGCACACCAGGTGGAAGTACCGCCTCAGTTTTTATCCTAATACAGGACTGCCCCTTGCTCTAATGAGGGAGCTCGGATTGACTAAGGTTGGGGTTTGGGGGAGGGCATAGGGGAAGAGGCGACATGATTGGAGAGCATAGACACAAAACTTACTTTGGTTTGTGTACTCAAAGACAAAGGGGTGACCCATAAGGTGGGAATTAAATGATTCAGGAGAAACTGAGGCCTGAAATGACTGTTTGACCTGAAATGGCAGCACCAAGTATATAATTAACCTGTGGGTCAAGGGTACCTTGAAGCAGAGTCTTTTGGACAATGATTACCTAAAAACCAGCAGTTTGAGTTTTAGGACATCAGATGACAAACAATTCTCTGTTTAAAGGCAGAAACTTTACAAAGTGAGGTAAAATGCCACAGAGCACCTAGGCAAGTGGGGAAATTAGCTAATATCCATGCAGTGACAGACATATTCCATAATGTGGGACCAGGCTTGGAGGGGGTACTCATACCCACGACCCTGAGATTAAGAGTCTCATGCTCTTCTGACAGTTCTAGCCCTTCAACAGAAAAGACCCAATTTAGTTGACTCACAATACTACCTTTTTCTACCTCTGCTGGCTTCCCTTTTCGGACCAGAAGCAAAACCATTAGAGACAGGAGACTAATTGGATCCGCTATTTGCTGTATTGCTGATAGATTAATTATCTTGAAAGTCTCTACTTTCATTTTTTTTGGTGGGACTGGGGTTTGAATCAGGAATTGGCTTTTGCAAAGCAGGCACTCTACCACTTGGACCACTCCTTCAGTCCATTTTTCTCTGGTTATTTTGGAGATGGGGGTTTCACAAACTACTTGCCTAGGCTGGCCTCAAACCACAGTCCTGATCTCAGCCACCCAAGAAGCTAGGATTACAGGTGTGAGCCACTGACACCAAGCTAAAAGTCCCTGCTAGTCCCCTGACTAGTTTTAAACCTTCAGTACATTCCTTAGGGTAAACCTTTCTCTTCTGATTCATGCTTGTGTTCATGAAGATAAATTTTAAGTGCTAATTGTCACTTGAATTTAAAAAGATTTGAGTGCCTTATTGATACATAAATCTTTTTTATTCTGATGATTAACATTAGTAGATTAAATAATGAAAGCCACAGAATAATCTGGAGTATCAGTAAAAATAGAGTTGAGATAGAAGGCAGTGAATGATATGATTTTGTTTTATTGAGCGTTTTAAATATCAATATTTGTCTCAATCATTTCTTCAAAACTAATTCAGAAGAGATGGCTTTAACAGTCAAATGATAAATGATATTTTAATCATGTCTTTTGAGTTTAGCTTAATAATCTTAGTTATTAAACAAAGTAGGAAATTATTTAGGGCTCCTGCTAGCACATGTATTATTTGTATATGAATTAGGAGATTGTATGCCTGCCTTTCGGTTCCATACCATGTGTACATGACCTGTAGAATGTAGCACAGGCTAAATTGCAGCTCCACTCACTGCCTTGGCCAGGTGCCTGTACAAAGCACAACTGTAGGTGATATCCCTGGCATTACAAACTTACGTATACTACACCTCTAGTTTTTGTGTAACTGTAGAATGGCCCCATCAGTGTTAGAAACTCGTGACACAGAGGGATGGTGGGGGAATACAACAAGCAGCTCATCTTTACCTGCTTTTTGCCACCTCAACTGCCACCACTTCTACCACATTCTAGTCTAAGCCTCTGCAGTCATTGTTTTGCATCCTTCTCTTTATACAATTCCTCCCTCACAGAGACCAAGTAGTGATCATTTTTAAATGAAATGTGTCATGCTCTATTAAGAAATTTTGATGGTTTCTAATTGCACCTTGAATAAAAATACATAGTTTTAAGATTGCACAAGCACTTAAAAAAAAAAAAATCTCCCTCTACCACTCCTATCGCTATATTCTATCTTTTTGGGCTTCTTTGCTTTTCTTTCCTTCCTCCCTTCTTCTCTCCCTCCCTATCTCTCTCCCTCCCTCCCTCCCTTCCTTCCTTTTTTCTTTCCCCCCTTCCTTCCTTCCTTCCTTCCTTGCTTCCTCCCTTTTTGGTGTTACTGGGATTTAAACTCAGGGCATCACACTTGCTAGGTAGGTGCTCTACCCTTTGAGCCACTCCGTCAGCCCTTCCCACTCTTAGAGTGTTCTTTTCCCAACATATTTGCATGGGTGGCTTCTTAATGCTCTCATTAATTCCTTTAAGGGCCTCACACATTCTGGGAAAGCTATTACTGAGCTATAGCCCTACCCTAACCACTTTCTCTTAACTAGCATATATACATATATTTCTGTCACTATCTCCTTATCCTCCATCAGTTTTCTTCATAGCACTTATCACATTCTAGTATGTGTTAATTTATTTGCTTTTTTGTGCTTCTGTTCCCATTACAGTGTAACCTTCTTGAAAGGAGCAACCTTGTTTTCTTCACTCCTTTGATCTGGGCATTTAAATTAATGCCTAGGGACTGGAGGCATGGCTTAAGTTGTGGAGCACTTGTCTGGCAGCCTTGAGGCCCTGAATTCAAACTCCAGTACTGAAAAAAAATTAATGCCTAGCACATAAGAGGCTTTCAGTAGATGTTTGGTAATTGAGTGGTATTTCATTACTGGAGATTCCTATAATACTGGTAAAGGTCAACTCCTGCTGTCAACACATAGCAATTAATGAGTTTTTTTTCATGGGCACTGTATGTCCCTGGTGAAAAGAATCTTGTTTTATATATTTCAGGATATTTCAAAGCTTTTGATTGTTCAGGTAAGAAAAATATCTTAGGCTGTAGCAGAGCATTTTATTCTTTTTTCCTTAAGGCTAATTCTTGGGCCCATATGTTATGATTCTGAATGGTTGATAGCAGCTAGTCTATTGGTATGGGAACCCATTATAATTAGCAAAAGAGATCACCTTGTATTGTGGCAACAACAATAGGATTTAGGAGGAGCAGGTACCAGATTATTAACAGGCTTTCTACCAATTTGAGGCGATAAAGAGTCTAGGTACCAGGGGCACTTTGCCTCATTAGTGTAGGGGAAAGACAATATTGGAGCACAAAGGGAAAGGAAAGCAGTAGTTTTCTCTTTCTGTGTAGGTTCCACATAATATAAATAATGACTAAACCTTGACATGTATTAACTCACATTTTAAGTCTGCCTCTAAAGGTAGAATGCCTTATCTCAAGATAATAAATGAAAGTGCTTTCCCTTTTAAAGCTAAAAAAAATGAAATAGGCATTTTAATATTTTTATGTATTTATACCTCAAAACAATACTAAAAGATAGGCAATAATTTTTCTTGGGTGTGGAAACCTAAATGAGTCTTAAGTTAGTACAGTTACTCATTTGGTAGAATTACCACGTAACTTTTGGTTACTTCACTCATCCACTTATATCTACCTTTGTTGTTGGGGTTTTTTGGTTTTTGATTTTTGGTTTGGCATTAATGGAATTTGAACTCAGGGCTTCACGCTTATTTGGCAGGCACTCTATTGTTTGAGCTACACTTCCATACCCTCATTTATATCTGCCTTTGGAAAATGTCCTAGCAAATGTTTCTCACAAGAAGATATGTATATTTTTTTACTTACTTATTTATGCAGGTATTTATTTGTTTATTTATTTATTTTGAGGCAGTCTTGCCATGTATCCTAGGCTGGCCTCGAACTTGGTATCTTCCTGCTTCAGCAGGATTATAGGTGTGTGCCACCACACCTGGCTTAAATATTTTATTAGTTTTTTGTAAGAACTAGTTATTGTTTTAGCTTGCCCTGTTGTTGCTGTTGTTTTGAGTTCAGTTTCCTCCTTAATTTACTTCTTGCAGTGCTGGGGATTGGATCACACATGCTAGGCAAGCGCTCTACCTTGAGCTCCATTTCCAGTCCTTTCTTCTTATTTTAAAGACTATTTCAGAAGTTTTAGTGTGTTTGGGTACCTTTTTGTTATTTAAATTATTTTAGTTTTCCAGTTTGTTAAGAGAAAACATAGTGGGTATAAAAGGCCTATTCTTTGTAGTTTTCTACCCACATAATTTTTTAGAAAGATCCGTGTACACTTGGAAAGAAATACTAATTGTTTTCTCTAGACATTAAACTTACTTGTTGATTTACACAGTTTTGACCAAGTGTTGTCAAAAAATAATGAATAAAAACTCAGGAGAAATTGCAAACACAAAAAAATTTAATTCCCATTCATGCATAATGCAGTCAGTTGATGCAGAAAAGCACGGAGCAGCACTCCGTGTTTATCATCAGTTGTGTTTAAATCACTGTATGATCTGCCAAGTGTTTCCCACCCTTAATTTTGAGAAAATCTGTCTCCCTAAAAAGCAAAACGTGCCCCCAAAGCAGTGTAAAAGTCAGTTTGCTTAATTTAAGTGATGAAGTGAAAATTTTAGATTTGTGGAGAGGCAGCATGTCTTTAGTGAAGTTGGATGGCATCATGGGAAAAATTAATCAAACATCCATAGTTCACTGAACTGTGCATCCTGAGCATTCCAGTTGTTCCTCAGTGGTGGTCTTCTTGGAACCATATATCTGCACATACAAAGGGTCTACTGTATTAAATTGTCATCATTTATGTTTTCTCAGTAACTGTATGATTCAAATCTATAGATACATTTAGTTTTTCTGTGCTTTAATTACACAAGGAAATCATAAATTCATTCTCCTTGTTGAAAAACAAAGTAGAAGTTTACAATACAGGCGTGTCTTCCTGTGCAGCCCTCCCCTATCCTGACCCTTATTCCAAGCCATAATCCCTGCTGTCAGGTTGGCGTGTCTTCTTGGACTTCCTACCTATAGTTACACCTGCATATATGCAGGGAAATGGTGAGTATTTTCTGTTCTGAATTTTGCCCCAATGGTATTCAGTCTCTTATTTCTTTTATGTGTTGCTATTCTGCACATACTGAGTTTATTAGAAACATATTCAGTAGTGTTTTATTTTCATTATTCTTACTGTGACCTCTAGAGTAAATTTTGTTCATTTTCTTACTTTTTTGCCATAAATTCTTATTTACTAGATAACATGATTGAAACTCATCCTTGTTTTATTTTTAATAGGCATGATAAGCTTTAGAAACACTCTTTAGTGTGCTTGCCTCAGTAGCACACATGCTAAAATTGGAACAACACAGAGAAAATGAGCATGGTCCCTGTGCAGAGATGATATGCAAATTCGTAACACATTCCATGTTTTTAACAGGGCTGGAGGTATGGCTCGAGTGTTAAGAGCGCCTTCCTAGCAAGCATGAGGCCCTGAGTTCAAAACCCCAGTATATTCTGCCAAAAAAGAAAAACACTTTAGATTCTACCTGTTTGGTTTTGATTCAGTACAGTCATCCTCTGCATTCATGGGGGATTGATTCTAGGACCCCCACTCATGAATACCAAAATTGACATATTCTGTTCCATTGTATAAAATGACATATTTTCATGTAACACATCCTCTTATATCTTTTAAATCTCTAGATTACTAGTAATACTAATATAATGCAAATGCTACGTAAATAGTTATTACACTGCATTGTTTAGGGAATAGTGACAGGAACAAAAAGCCTGTACATGTTTAGCACAGATGCAACTTTTTTCCCTCCATTATTTCCCATCTCTGATTTGTTGAACCTGCAGTTTTAGAATGCATGTATATACAGGCCAACTGTACTTGACTTTTCTTTTTGTAAGCATGTTTAAAGTTGTTAAAATGATTACTTGATGTCTGTTTGTAGGATGCTGAAGAAGACCATGAAAGAACACATCAGATGGTTTTGTTAAGAAAGCTTTGCCTGCCAATGTTGTGTTTTCTGCTTCACACCATATTGCATAGCACTGGTCAGTATCAGGAATGCCTGCAGTTAGCAGATATGGTATCCTCTGAGCGCCACAAACTGTATCTGGTAAGGTGTAGAGCATTTGCAGTCTTAAATATTTGTGACTTCATATACGCTGTGGTAATTAATCTTGTGATGCTGTGTTTACATTTTTTAGTTGTTTTTAGATTTTCTGAAAGTAATGGTCCAGTTTCAATGCATGTACTTTTCCCCAAAATGTGTGTGCATGTATAAACAGTCAGAAGTATACAGAATGACTGAAAATGATATTGAGGCTCCTGAAGCACTTTAATATACTAGTTTCTGACCACATAACTTTTTTGGGAGTGGGACTGGGGTTTGAACTCAGGGCTTTGTGCTTGCAAAGTAGGTGCTCTATCACTTAAGCCACTCCTCCAGTCCATTTTGGTCTGGTTATTTTGGAGACAGGGGTTTCTGAAACTATTTGGCTGGACTGGCCTCGAACCATGACCCTCTCAGTCTCAGCCTCCAAAGTAACTAGGATTACAGGTATAAGCCACTGGCACCCAGCTGCCACATTAATCTTACAGAGTAATCAGATTTATTAGGTAACTCTGAGTTCATACTCTTCTCTCATTCTTATTTTTTTCTTTTTTAATATTAGGTATTTTCTAAGGAAGAACTGAGGAAGTTGCTGCAGAAACTAAGGGAATCCTCACTAATGCTTCTAGACCAGGGACTTGACCCATTAGGATATGAAATTCAGTCATAATTGCATCCACTTTTTGTATTCTCACTCATTTCCATAATAAATGGAGGGGTTTTTTTTAAAAATAAAATATACATATTTGTAATTACTGGCCATTTTCTTTTGCATTATTCTGGAGAAAAATGTAAAATTTAGACATTTGAATTTTGTACTTTTAGGTAATTATAATAGTTTGAAAATTCAATTTATCATACCAATATTTCCATTTTTTTATGAATTTAGACAAAAATGAAAACTTCTGTTCTTACAAACTCCAAGCTTATCTCTTTGTTATATAATAAAGAAGTTAAATTTGTTCTGTTTTTTTCCTTAATCATAAGTACGCTGATATCTTAAAATTATAAAGAAGATGGAAAGTAGATTCACTTTCAAGCCAGGTATGAATTTCTCATTGGTCATAAAATTTAATATTTTAAAAAACATTAATAGGATGAATATACAAGTTTCAAAAATAATAATACATTTTTTCTTTATTTAGAAAACATTTTTAGTTTCCTGTCATTCAAAAATCTGCTGTTAAAGTAAGTCAGAGCATGCAAAGACGTTATAGCGTCTGGCCCACGGCCAGCACTGAATACACTGGGGAATGCAACATGACTAAGGTCTATTCCGGTCCTCGTTGCTCAAGCCATTCTAATGGTACCATTAAAAAACACAAATAATCTGAGCAGGAAAAACCTATCTCCCTCCAGCTGAAAGGTGTCTGAGGAATTAGTATATGGGCTGAGGTTTGAGTAACACCATAGGTGATAACTAGCTAAATGGGGACATTCTGGCTTAAATCCTATATAGGTATTGAAATTTCTCTTCCACCCAAGGCAGACATATCAATTGATCACAGCATTGCTTCCTGGACATCAGTTGGAAAGAGGCATGGAGGCAATGGATGCTGCCTCATGTTTTCTGTACACCAGTGAAAGTGATTCAAAGATGGAAGGGCTTACTTACCAAAACCTTATTGAGTTTATATTTTTATGCCTTACTATGCATTCACTTTTTAGTTTGTTTTTGGTTTTATCGTTTTTTGTTTTTGGTTTTTTTTAAGACAGGGTCTTGCCATGTAGGCCAGGTACTGAGGCTGAGCTACAACTCTCCATGTAGCATGTAGCACAGTCTGGCCTCAAACTTGTGATCTTCCTGCCTCAGGCTCCCAAGTACCACCACACCTGTTTAAAATACGTTACTAGACTTATCGAAGGACAAGTATTGAAAACAGCCTGTCCTGTTTTCTTTGAAGAAATCTTTGACCACCTCTCCCTCCCCAAGTGTTTTTTTTTTTGTTTGTTTGTTTCTTTGGCTGCAATTGGAGTCTTAAACTCAGGGCCTCCTGCTTGCTAGGCAGGCACTTTTATCGCTTGTGCCACTCTGCCAGCCATTTTTTGTGATGAGTGAGTTTTTTCAAGATAGGATCTCAAGGACTGTTTGCCCAGGGCTGGCTTCAAACCACAATCCATAACTGCCTCCTGAGTTGATAGGATTACAGATTACAGACCTGAGCCACCCAGTGCCTGGCCCTCCCCAGGTTGCAGGAAGGCTATACCTAGTGGACCATATTTTGTTTCTTCAGAACACTCATTTATCATAGTTCATCGTTGTTTGGTACCCGTCTTCTCAGTAAGTTCTAAAGAAGGGGACCTGGTCTGGTGTCACTTGCCATCCTCTCCCAGGTGCCAAGTAGTCACTTGGCAGGTGCTCAATTTGAGTAATTCTCACACAAAAGAAAATTAAAACTGCCAATCAGACTAATTAGAACTATCAAGACTGAGTAAAGGACTTTATATCTTTCTCTTCATACTTTTCCACATTGTTCAGCAAGCAAAAGTAGCTTTTTTTTTTTTTCTAGTAATAAAGTCTTTGGAAGACAGACTTCTGTCACACTTTACCATAGAGAAAGATCAGGTTGAATAATTTGAGTTCAGAGAGCTTCTCTGAAATACAAACTACATTAAAAAATATTAATAGAACCAGTAGCCATCAATAAAGCAGTATAATATAAAAGTTAACCTTTAGGCTTGAGATATGGATAATATGAATAATGACTTTTTTTAAATACGTGGAAAACACTAAAGTGAGCAGTTTCAGCAACCAATGAAGAAAAAACAATGTTTGTTTTTAGCATAGTTGATTAAAGATTTATTTTTCTGTGTAAAATAAAGCAATGAAAAGTCAGTGTTGTAACCAAAACTAGTTACAAGATACTGAATGTTGGTAACAACTTCACTTGAAATTTTTTTTTTTTTTTTGGGCAGTACTAGGGCTTGAACTCAGGGCCTACACCTTAAGACACTCCACCAGCCGTGTGTGTGTGTGTGTGTGTGTGTGTGTGTGGTGTGTGTGTGTGTGTGTGTGTGTGTGTGTGTGTGGTGTTTTGTTTTGTTTTTTTGAGAAAGGGGCTCCCGACACTCCACCAGCCGTGGGTGTGTGTGTGTTGGGTGGGTGTGTGGGTGGGTGTGTGTGTTGGGTTTTTTTTTTTT